TTGTCTCTGTCTCTCTCTCTGCCTCTCTCTCGGCTCTCGGCCGACTCAATTTTCCCTCTCGAGAAAAATGAAGGATCCCCCCCGAACCAGCACGCATCGGCGCGTGGAAAACCACTTCTCCGCCGACCGCACGACACCACGCTGCACGCATCCCAGCATCAAGCACACAGCAGCATCCCAGCCTGCAGCAGGCACCGCAGGCGGGGGAATGGCTTACTTCATAGCCAACAGGGGCGCCACCATCGGCGGAGGTTCCCTGGGCAGAACGGAGCAGCTGCCAAGCCTCAAGATTCTGTGTGTCGATCTGTGCGCGAGGTATTTTATCTCGTGTGCATATGCGTAGGAAACTCTCCGACGCCTTCCGAGACTCGATCTCGCTTACTACATGGCTTGGCACTGCTGTAGTCCGTGCTGCTGGGAAGAACTTGCTGGCCTATTGCTTCATCACAGTGTATGTTGTAGTAGTGTGTGCGTGCCGAGGGGTGGCCTAACGGTATTTAGCTTCCTGACCCGAAACCATCGTATTGGTATGCATATCTATGTAGTCTGTGTACATGTTGTATGCAAGAGCAAGAGGAGTACAAGGGGTATCGTTGTCTCAAACCACCGTTTCGAGGTGGGGTGCGTTGTTCGCTGTGCGTCACAAAACACACGTTGACTACACGAGAAGAAGAAAACAGCCAGCAGCAGGGTTCCTTCCGTGCATGCACGTGTGCGTACTTTTCTCTTATCATACGTTCCTTGTCCGTGTTTGTTTTCTTGACCTCGCTCTCAGCCCAGCAGGCACATGCAGCGGGCAGCCGCGAGGCATCAGAAGCAGTATTCCTTACATACATGCATGTGTGCGTACTTTCTGTCTCCCGTTGATTCGTCCTGGTCCGTGTTATCTTGCCCTCGCTCTCAACCCAGCAGGCACTTGGAAGAGCGTACAGCCACAAGACAACAGCAAGCAGTATTCCTTCCATTCATGCATCACATGCGACTGTAGTTACTTCTGGTCGTCCGTGCGTATTCTGCCGCTCTCAATCCGGCAGGCACTTGGAGCGTCTGAGCGACCTAGGAGACATCCCCACAGAGGTGTTCATCGACCTGCTGAGGAGGGCCAAGGAAAAGGCCACCCCGGCTATAGTCAAACGCCTACAGGACGTCAACGCGGTAGGTAGATATGCCGCTGGCGGTACATAATGCCAGCAGCAAAGGGCCGGGTGTCCGACACTACAGCTGTAGATACCTACCTGTGTCTGTCTTTCGATTTATCGCCCCTTCGTGCTGTAATCGTGTCGTATTTGATTTTTGTTTTGCGCGGTTGGCTCTACCGAGTAACGCGTCAGTGGCTTCCTTTCACCTATTGAAGCCGCTTGCCGCTTGAACTCGTTGAGCCCTCGACACGTTTTTGAGCTTTTCGAACTCTCTTATTTCCCTTTGTGTGGCTGCCACCCCCCCCCCCG